CAAACCTTCAAACCTGTGAGTGTATTTTACACTTATTGAACATCTCAATTTAGACTAGCCACATTTCAGGTGCTCAAAATACACATGTGGCTGGTGGCTACTGCATTGGAATGTGAGAGCCTAGAATAACCAAGCTTCACATGTAGTAGATTTGAGAAGGGCATAATGTCAAAACTGGGATGCATTTTGTTCTTGCATGTTTAATCTTTTTCGGCAATGCAGGGTTTTCTCTATTAAGATTAAAATGCAAAGGCTGTGTTGGTTTTTCCTCTTTTCTTCTATGTTTCTACAACAGATTCCTTTGCAGTATACTAAATTTGCTATATTGTAAATGATAGGAACCAGCCCTCCCCTCCCAAGGATTCTATATTAATTTTTAAAAGCTACTTATTATCTGATTGTATGTTTTCTTGTATGATATTCTTTTGTTTGAATGCAATAATTCTGGGAATCTCTCTCTGGGTACTATCAACCATTGTTTTGTTTTATTTGTTTCATGTTGTTTGTCTTGGTTTTTCTCCTTCAGGTTGAAGGCCTTTCTCAAATTTCTGATGGCCCTTGATTGTTTATTTATATTGAATATCGACTTCTAAAAGCCAACATCCAACTCTAAGAAATAGGTGGCCTTTGTCACATAGTAAGTTTCTTACCAGGGTAGTAATTCATGGACCCTAGCTGAACATTAGAGTTGCCTGAGGAGATTTTTAAAAATACAGAGCAGTGGTCATAGCCCCAGGGAATCTGATTTAATTGGTCTGCTGCAGGACTAAGCATCTGCTTTCTGTCAATTCTCTAAAAAGATTCTAATCTGCATATGGAATTCAGAGCCACTGCTTGGAGCTTACGGACAGCTGAACATGTGGAGGTTCTTGGAGAGTGGTGTGCCCAGGGAGGGCATGGAAGTCCCATGCCCCTTCCCCCATACCTCATCCTGCATCTTCTTTGCAATATCTTTTAAAATAGCCAGTAAATGTGAGTGTTTCCCTGAGTTCTGTGAGCCACTCCAGAAAATTAATCAAATGCAAAGAGAGGGTCTCGTGAATCCCCACTTGAAGCCAGTCAGTCAGAAGTTTCAGAGGCCTGGACTTGTGGCTCTTATGTGTCTGGGGGGCAGTTTGGGGGCTGAGCCCTCAACCCATGGAATGCAATGCTATATCAAGGTAGATAGTGTTGTAACTGAATTGCAGGACACCCAGCTAGTGTCTGCTGCTTGGTGTGTGGTGAAAAATCCCCCACACATTTGCTCATAGAAATCTTCTATGTTGATTGTTGTGGTGTGATAGTAGAGGAAAGACAGTTTGAGAGTTTTTCCCTGAACTATTGGCGTCTAAAGTAGGATTTGCTGGAATGGCCTTTACTCATGCGAGCACATGGTTTGGGAAGAGAAAGGATAAAAGGGTGGGAGATAACAAATCTTTGATTCCTGAGTGGCCGTGTGGTCGCCCAAGGTATAAAGCTGCAGCTGTGTTGAGATGAGTTACTAAAGGTAAAAGCTATCAGTGGAATTAAAGAATGAATCTAGCAGTGGCTCACGCCTGTAATCCCAGCACTTTGGGAAGCCGAGGAGGGTGGATCACGAGGTCAAGAAATAGAGACCATCCTGGTCAACATGGTGAAACCCCGTCTCTACTAAAAATACAAAAAAATTAGCTGGGCATGGTGGTGCATGCCTGTAATCCCAGCTACTCAGGAGGCTGAGGGAGGAGAATTGCCTGAAGGCGGAGGTTGCAGTGAGCCGAGATCACGCCGTTGCACTCCAGCCTCAGTAACAAGAGCGAAACTCCGTCTCAAAAAAAAAAAAAAAAAAAAAAAAAAAGAATCCAATTTCCAGGGTCCCAGGGAGCTAGTTCACTGAATGCATAAGGAAATGCAAACTAATAGAAAAAAAGTGAAATATTCAATCTCTTGATTACTGTTATCTGTTAAGAGCTAAAATGAAATCAAAAGAGAATACTGGGTTGGACCTTCATGCTAGACGAAGCTCAGATTTCAGTCAGCCTGGGCTTAGTCCACCAGCCTCACAGCCCCATCACCAAGGGCAGAATTATGCAGCAACAACAGAAAGTATCTTTGAGACCTGTGGTTACAAAGAAGATAGTCAATGTAAGGGAAGGGCAAAACTAAATAACTACTGAAAACAGAGAGTATGGTGTAAAGAATTGTTCCATTTTGGAGATTAGTGTCATCAGCTTCCTAAGGAGCCTTTATGAAAATGGATTATGAGAGTAGCTAATTTAAGGGAAGTATCTCTTTTTTTTTTTTTTTTTAATGCTGCAGAGTGGAGCATGTTTGGGTTGATATAGGACCTACAGCTTACCAATAAACAATCACAGTTGGGTATATATGATCTAGATACACAGAAGATTATTCCTGAGGGAACAGCCAGCCTAATAAACTGGATAAAAGCCACTGTAAGATGTATTTACCCTGAGAAAGGGGGCTATCCAACTCTACCAGTAAATGCCAACTGGAACATCCCAGAGAAGGTAGCTGATATGCTTTGAATGCAATGAGACTGGCTTTATGATGACAGGGTTACTCCTCTCCAGAATATGCTCATTACCCAGGTTATGGTAAATGCTATAGCTAAGGGACCCCTTCTACCTGAGCGCCCTATGTGACATTACTCCTACAGAATCGAACAACAGTTCCAGAAGACTTACCAAATTTACTGTTTCAGCTTCCCCTCATGAGTCTTATAGTCAAAAAAAACCTTAGGTTAGTTAACAAAGGAATGGGGAAAGGCGAAAGGGAGTGTCAAAGGACTGGTCTCAGGAAGGTGGAAATTTTTTAAACAGTTATTAATAAATAAGGTGAGTAAAAAAAACATTGATGGGTGAAACTAAGAGGAAAAAGAAAGAGGAGAGTCATGGAATTTATCCCAAGAGGGTGGAAATCTTTAGATGGTTATAAAGAAATTGAATCAATAAAATGGAAATTGATTGGGGTTAAAACAAAGGTCCTAATACAACACTGTTGAAAGTTGGGTGAATCAACAGGAACCTCTGCTGGTCCCTCAACATTAAAGGTCCCCAAACCAGTTTGCTATATTTTCCCCCAGTTTGGAGAAATTTTAAAAGCAGAAGGCAGAGATTACAATGAGAAATCTGATCTGAAATTGCCTGGGGCAATACTTGGGCCGATTAATCAAGACAAAGATTGACCAAAAAAGCCAAGGTCCTTTGGCTCAACCCCTGGTTGAGGACCCAAAGCCTTTTGCACAAAAGAGTTTAAAGTGGTTTGGGGATGGAGAAGAGAAGTTCCTGAAACTAGAACTTAAAAATGGAAGAGCTGATAGGATTATGTCAATTGATATATTTGAATACCTTCATGTGAAGTGGTTGCAACTCATTTATCTGATTGTATCATGAGAACGAACATTGTATCTTATTGAAAATGTTTCTCCTACCTAGTTTTGTAAAATAGAAAGCATCTAAATTCACCCTTTGAGTAATATTAATTGAACTGCTAATGGGAACCAATAAGATTGCCAGAGCCCACACAGTGCAGAGTAAATGCTAGAGTGCTTGCAGGGACAAATTCTCCAGTTGATAGCCCTCTGTGGCATGTTTACTTGAGCTTAAGGCAAAATCTTGTGTGCAGCTCTCAGAAATGACTAGGCGGGTGGATCACAAGGTCAGAAGTTCAAGACCAGCCTGGCCAAGATGGTAAAACCCCGTCTCTACTAAAAATACAAAAATTAGCCAGGCACAGTGGCAGGCACCTATAATCCCAGTTACACAGGAGGCTGAGGCAGGAGAATTGCTTGAACCGGGGAGGCAGAGGTTGCAGTGAGCCGAGATCGCACCATTGCACTCCAGCCTGGATGATAGAATGAGATTTTGTCTCAAAAAAAAAGAAGAAGAAGAAGTGACTACTGAAACCTTGGACTAGAGAATTTCAACTTGAGGGGCATTTACTGTCTTGCTGTGAAACATTAGCTGAAGCTACCCCTATGACACCCTTCATGCTGCCTCGGTTGATGTCAGAGAAACATTCTAATGGGGATGGCAGTACCCAGAAGAGTTCTACAATAAGATGGAAATGGTTTATAAAGGATCGTGCTACCTAGGAATGTAAAGATGGGATACTCTTGAGCAGAGAGTATCTTTTCCCCTAGGACTGACTCTGGCACTGTCTGAGAAACTGTTGGATTCTATAGCACCAGAAAAACAGCTCCCAAGTCACAAACCAAGCAAGGGCTGCTTGGCTCGTGGATGGCAGGTCCAAAATAAATGGACAAGATTCTGTTTGGAAGGCCGCTACTTTAAGCAAAGAAGGAAAAACAGATCACCTTGGTGGGCTGAATTGCATGCTGTTTTTCTAATAGTAATGGAGAATTGAACAGTGGTAGAAGCCCATGTGTTTGTGTTTTTACTGACTTTTGGGCAGTGACCAAGGCTTGGCCATGTGGTTAGGCAGAAGGGCAATGGAAACCTGGCCCATTAAAGGGATTACCAGATGGAACATGGCCCAGTGGAAATTTTTTTTGACACAGTCTTGCTCTGTCACCCAGAGTGGAGTGCAGTGGTATGATCTCTGCTCACTGCAACCTCTGCCTCCCAGGTTCAAGAGATTCTCCTGCCTCGGCTTCCCAAGTAGCTGAGATTACAGGTGCATACCACCACACCTGGCTAATTTTTGTAATTTTAGTAGAGACAGGGTTTTATCATGTTGGCCAGACTGGTCTCAAACTCCTGACCACAAGTGATCCACCCACCTCAGCCTCCCAACCTATGGAAATTTGAGGGCTACATTAAAGAAGACCAAGTCAATGCCCCTTAGAAGAACTCCCTTCCAGTTTTGGTAGGTGACTGGAATCAACAAGTAGATATCCCTGTGTGCTCCCTTGGCGTGGCCACGAGCGTTCATGAAAACAATGGATATGGGGCACTGCAGCAGTGCAGAGATGAGCTTAATCTAGACATTATCTTTTCGTACCATCTCAGGTACATAATGCTAGTAAAAATCGTTCTGTTTCTCAGCAAGAGAGACAGGGTCTACCAATGGCTGTGAGGCAGATTCTCTGATGGGAAGCTCCTGAACACTGCTAGCAAATGAGAGTAACACTTGTAGCCCCAGGTGGCAGGGGGGCAGGCTGCTACAAACAGGTCTTGAAAAGAATAGACACTGACTCTGGGCTGGGCTTTGCTTACTCAGTGGACAATGAAACTGCTCAGAGTGCCATAAAGAAAAAAAAAGAAAAAAACAGAATTGAGGATATTGCATGGATTTGGATGACCCACCATCATTTTTTTTTTTTTTTTTTTTTTGAGATGGAGTCTCACTCTGTCACAAGGCTATAGTGCAGTGGTGCAATCTCAGCTCACTGCAACCTCCTCCTTCCAGGTTCAAGTGATTATCCTGCCTCAACCCCCTGAGTAGCTGAGACTACCAGCATGTACTACCACATCCAGCTAATTTTTGTATTTTTAGTAGAGACAGGGTTTCACCATGTTGGCCAGAATGTTCTCCATCTCCTGACCTTGTGATCCGCCTGCCTCAGCCTCCCAAAGTGCTGGGATTACAGGTGTGAGCCACTGACCCAGCCAATTTCTTCAGAGCAATAGTTTGTTAGAGAAGTATAATGGGGCAAGCGAAACTTTGGTCATCTAAAACAAGAGAATATAAAAGCACAAAGGGCTGGCCACCCTTTGTCATACCTGATATTTCCTTATTCTTAATCTCTCTGTGGTTCTGCATATTCATTCAATTCTTCCTATGCTAAATTCTTTCCCAACATATTCTAGCTTGTGCCCTCTTCAGCTGAACTGATGTTCGAAAGAGAAGGGGAAACAAACAAGTAAAATCTTTTACTAGGTCCTTTACCCTTAAACAGAAGGACCTCAAGTCTATCAATTGTTTTGTAGAGCATGTTAAAAAAAACTTAAGATAAGTCAAAGGAAAATCAAGGCTAGTAATGGCTGGAAAGGTAACTTGCACTGCATAATGAAGGAAATGAAATGCAATAGAATGAAATTCAATCTTAAACAATAGAGAGGGAAGATGAAGGAAAGCCAAATCACTCAGGAGGGAAGCCGCACAACTTTCAAAGGCAGGAATGTCAAATATTCAGTTTCATTGCTGGGATATAAATACTCTGTCTTGTACAAATGCCTTTGAAAATGTGTTTTTTTCCTCTCCTTTTCATGAAAATTAAAGAAGCATAAATAGCTTGGATGAATATTCATCTAGGTTGGCACCTGGCAGAGAAAAGAGAATTTGAAACATGGACCAAAATCTAATCGGGAAAATATTACTCTCCCTCTTGGTAGTGCCAGGAGCAATACCACCATTCATGAAGGTCTGAAGCAATTTCTCACTAAAAATTGTCTTTCTCAGTGGAGAGCTGTGTTACACATGCACTGTGCCTTTATTTAAATATAGTGATGACTGTTTACAAACCTTTGGCAAAGAGTATGGGTTTTAGTCATTAAGAAACCTGGGAGGTTAGCATTTAGTACCTCCATTGTCACTTTTCCTCTATTTTTTTCTGCCTATTCATCCAGGAACAAATCAAGTGGACTGCTGAGGCTGCACCATAAGACCTGTTAGCTGTGTTTTCATTAGCCATGGCGTCTAATGAAATGGTGGTATTGTTCCTGGCACTACCAAGAGGGAGAGTAATATTTTCCCGATTAGCTTTTGATCCATGTTTCAAATTCTCTTTCCTCTGTCAGGTGCCAACCTAGATTAGTTGTGGTCCATAATGAAAACATGAGCATACGCCCTTGACTTTGTGGCTGAGAGTGTCATTTGGGTAAAAATCCCAAGTATGAAGTTGATGAGGAAAAGATGTGCAATTGTTAAGAAAAAAAAGACTGAGATCATTATACGAGTAGACCTACACATTTACTGTGTACAGAGTCAGTACTTAATAGTAAGAAAGGCAGTAAATACAGCTCATTGTCTTAAATTGACTAAGATTTTTTATGTCTATTCTTTCCAGTTTCTCAGCTGAGGAGCAGGTACTCAAAGGTCAAAGAAGGCTGGCTGGGTGCAGTGGTTCATACCTGTAATTCCAGCATTTTAGGAGGCCAAGGCAGTAGGATCACTTGAGCCCAGGAGTTCAAAACCAGTCTGGGCAACATAGTGAGACCCTGTCTCAAAAAAAAAAAAAAAAAAAAAAAAAAGCCAGCTATGGTAGGATGTGGGCATGTGCCTGTGTCCTAACTACTCAGGAGACTGAGGTAGGAGGACCACTTGATCCCAGGAGATGAAGGCTGCAGTGAGCCAAGATCATGCCACTGCACTCCAGCCTGACAAACAGAGTAAGACACTGTCTCCACAATAAAATAAAATAAATAAAATAAGCTGGCATGGTGGCATGCACCTGTGGTCCCAGCTACTCGGGATCCTGAGGTAGGAAGATCACTTGAGCCCAGGAGATCAAGGATGCAGTGAGCCATGATCATGTCACTGGGCCACAGAGTGAGACCCTGTCTCAAAAACAAGAAAAGAAAAAGAAAAGAAAAGAGAGAGAGAGAGAGAAAGAAAAAGAAAGAAAGAGAAAGAAAGAAAGAAAGAGAGAGAGAAAGAAATGAGGGAAGGAAGGAAGGAAGGAAGGAAGGAAGGAAGGAAGGAAGGAAGGAAGGAAGGAAGGAAGGAAGGAGGAAAGAAAGCAAGCCAAGCCAAAGAAGACTTGGCAGTGGCCACTGCTCAGATAGGATTCCACAGCCTTGCTCTCCTAGCTCGTCTTTCTCTGCAACCATGTGTGACTAACCGAACATGGCTGAGATTAAGACACTCAATAAGCAGAGATTGAAAAAGGCAGAAACACAGGAGATAAATCCACCGCCTTCAAAAGAAACGAACTTAAAGAAGAAAACAGGTGAATAATAATGAGCTGTGAGCTATGAATATGTACTTCATATTCCACAGGCATTGCCTTCTTATTTTTCTTCTTTTAGCTATTTTATTTTGTGAGATGCAAAGAATTTGGATCAAACTGAAATGACTGTGCTGCTCTTTCTGCATGAAAAAAGAACTACTGACAACAAAGTCATCATCTGCTTCTCCCATCTACCTGTCTGGTTGCCAGGGGAGAAAAAGTACTTACATGTTGGTGATGTAAGAAGCTGAATAAAACCACTGAATCTAAAGTAAAAACTAAATTGATACAAAATGTCCTGAAGGTTGTTAAAAGTAGTTTAATAAGAATGCCTTTTTTTGTTGATCAAATGATATTAACTATTGGATTGCACAATTTTTAAAATATGCAAATTAAAAGTTCTAAAACCTAAAAAAATCAGGTGACCTAGATTCAGAAGACTTTGTGCTTCAGAGACAAGAACTGCTGTTGATGCAAAGATAAATCATTATTGATAATATAATAGCACAGGCTTTGCTGTAGTTCCAGAGTCTGAGGAGATGTACGTCGTAAAGCATAAATTGATCTTAAACAGATCCTATTTCCATCTACACATTGAGCATTCCTAATCTGAAAATCTGAAATCTGAAATGCCCCAAAATGTGAAACTTTTTGAACTGCAATATACACAAGTGCAAAATTCCACACTTGATGTCGTGTGACAGGTCACTGTCAAAACACAGGCTCACAACACACAGTTTATTCAGCATCCCAAGAAAAAAAGACCTTCCTAGCCCCCTTCAGCTATGATCGATCTTTTTTTGTGCATGCCGTCTCTCCCCATGCAAACATGCCCTCAGAGGGTAATGAAATGGCACACGCATAGACTGGCCACATCAATGACAGGTTCCCTGTGATGCCTCATACACGGCCAATTCCTACATGTATTACTCACTGTGATTTTTTTTGCTTATCCTCTGCTCTGTGGTATATATAAATTGTTGAAAATGTCAAAAAGGAGATTTGTTCATCAAACAAACCTTAGCATCACACAATATATCCAGGTAAACAAACCTGCACATGTATCCCCTGAAACTAATAGTTGAAATTATGTGTAAAAAAAGAAAATGTCCAAAGGCCTGCTGATACCCCTATGAGTAACAGTGATAGGAAAAAGAGGGAGCATTTTTGTTTATCTATAACACAGAAAATCAAGCTGTTAGACAAACTGGATAGCAGTCTAAGCATGAAACGTCTTACAGAAGAGTATGGTATGGAAATGACCATTATATATGACATGAGGAAACACGATAAATTGTTGAAGTTGTATTGAAGCAATCAGTAGAAGTTAATTTTAAACAGAAAAACACTGCATAAAGCTAAAAATGAAGATCTCAATCATGTTTTGAAAGGGTAGTTCCATCAATATCACAATGAACATGTTTCATAATCACATGGTATACTAATCATGAAACAAGCAAAAATATTTTACAACAAAATGAAAATTGAAGGGAGATATGAATATTCAAGAGGTATACTGAAATTTTAGAAAATATAAAGCATTACATTTTTAAAGATTTCTGGTGAGAAAACTTCTGCTGATCACAAAGCAAAGAAGAAATTCATTGATGAGTTTGCCAAGGTGATCGTTGATGAAAATCTGACACCAGAACAAGTCTATGAGGCTGGTGAAACACCATTGTTTTGGTTTTATTGCTCCAGAAAGGCAGTGACTACAGCTGATGAGACAGCCCCTGCAGGAATTAAGAATGCAAAGATAGCGTGACTGTGCTGAGATGTGCTAAAGCAGTAGGCATACATACTGTAAGGTTGCTATGGTAGAAAAAAGCTTGTGTCCTCACTGTTTTCAAGAAGTGAATTTCTTACTAGTCTATTTTTATGCTAACAAGAAGGCATGGACCACCAGGCGTATCTTTTCTGATTGGTTTCACAAACATTTTGTACCAGCTGTGCTCACTGCTGGGAAGCTGGACCAGATGATAACTACAAGATTTTGTTATTCTTTGACAATTGTTCTCCTCATCCTCCAGCTGAAATTCTCAATCAAAATAAGGTCTATGCCTTGTACTTTCCCCTAAATGTGACTTCAAATCAATGAGCAGCCATATGACCAGGTTATCCTTAGATCAATTAAGAGTAAATATAAAAACTCTTCCTTGAACAGAATGCTAGCAGCGGTGAACAGAGGCATGGGTATAGAGGTTTTCAAAAGGAGTTCAGCATGAAGGATGCTGTATTTGCTGTTTCCAACACTTAGAACTCAGTGACTAACCACAGCTGTGCACACATGGCACAATCTCTTGCCTCTGACTGTGTTTAGTGATGATAATGAACAAGGTAGTGACTTTGAAGGGTCTTGTATATTAAGTGAAAAAAAATGATGTCTGGCTTCCTTACATTTGCAAAAAATATACCTTCACAGTCCACCAATAAGTTGGAGGAAGTGAATATTGAAGAATTTTTTAACATGGATAACGAGGCTTCAGTTGCTCATTCAATGACCTGTGGTGAAATCGTCTAAATGGTGCTGAATCAAGATGATCCTAAGAGTGACAATGAAGATGATGATGTTAACACAGCAGAAAAATTGCCTGCAAACAACATGATGAAAACGTGTGATGAGTGTATTAAAGGACTAGAGCAACACACATTCATAACAGAACAGATATGAATCAAAGTTTAGAAAATCAAAGAGAGACTTCTAAGACAAAAATCTATTGTTAATGAGACAAATGACTAAGAAGGAAACCATTAACATACTTAAAAAGCCATCCAGCAACATGACTCCTCATCCCACTTCCTGGTCCCTCAATTGCTTCTAACGCTTCTTCTCATTTAAAACACACACATACACACACACACACACACACACACACACACACACACACACACACACACACAAAAGATAGCATGCAGTGAGCGACCTTTCCATCAAAACACAGCCTTGTAGGCGGAGACAGAAAACCTGCCATTGTTTGTTGTTGCTCTTGTTTATCAGATGATGCAGGCATTCTGGTGATGCTACTGTGCTGCTTAGTTACCTGGAACACTCATATTTTTTCACTGTATTAATGGTATACCATATTTTTTACTTATGTGTGGATAAGTATAAGAAAATGATTGCTTATTGGTAGCATACAAATTCAGAGTCAGGAATGATGGTGATGCCAAACAACCATGAACTGTCCGCATGGGTTTCTGGGATAATGATACCTTTGCTTTCTGATGGTTTAGTGTATACCAACTTTGCTGCATGCACAAATTTATTGCAAATATTGTATAAAATTACCTTCAGCCTTTGTGTATAAAGTATATATAAAACATAAATAAATTTTGTGTTTATACTTGGATCTTATCCCCAGTATATCTCATTATATATATGCAAATATTTCAAAATTGGAAAAAAAATGGAAATCCAAATATTTCTGGTCCCAAGCATCTCAGATAAGAAAGACTGAACCTGTACTCTCTCTGTGAGCTTTGGTTAAATTAGTCTCTCAAAGCCTCAGTTACCTAGTCAATAAAGTATTGTCAATAATAGCATTCATGTTATAGGGTTATCATGATAATCAAACAAATTATGGCATATAAAGCACATAGCCCAAGTCTAGCAGTTGGTCAGCACCCAATAAAAAATTACTATTGTTATTCTCATTATTCTTCACAGCCTTGCATGCCCAGCCTCTTTGAGTCAGTACCATTGCCTTGTGCTCTTCTCGACGAAGAACTAAACACTTCAGCATAACAACTCCCCTGCAACACAAAACCAAGTAACAGGCCCAACTGAAATAATGAGAAATAAGCATTTCATTGAAGAATTTATGTTATTACAGAGAAGAGTTTCTTTCTCACACTAAATGGGAAAGCTTCTCTATTTTCCCAAGACATGCATCTTGGGCCTACAGCTGATACAATGTACACCTGCTCCCCTGTGAGTATGAGACCCCAGCAGTTATCTGAACTCTGAGATATATTAGTCATCAGTATGCCTGGGAGTAAAGCATGGGTTCATCCTGCCTTACCCACATTTCTTCACCACCAATGTTAATGTTCTCCAAAAGTATAACAAGAATCTATATTGTAAGGGAAATCACATTTTAAACATTTAGAAAAGCTTGCTATTGAAGACCAATTCAAATGTCACCTCTCCTGTGAAATTGTTTTCTAACCAAGCAGAGCCAGCCATGAGAAAGAGTTGATTAGATGTCAAGAGTTCTAGATCTGCTAATAACTGGCTATGTGACCTTAGAAATATCCATTCATAGGCTGGGTGCAGTGGGTTACACATGTAATCCCAACACTTGGGGAGGCCAAGGCAGATGTATCACTTGAGCCCAGGAGTTCGAGACCAGCCTGGCCAACGTGGCAAAGTCCCATCTCTACTAAACATACAGAAAACTAGTCAGGCGTGGTTGGCATATACCTATAGTCCAAGTTACTCAGGAGACTG